CTGGCTAGAGCACAGCAAAGATGGAGCTTCTTTAAAAATGGGCTGTACTCTCAAATTTGTTGAGCCAGAAGATGCATGGTACTTTTCTGGATCGTGTGGACCATGCCAGAGAACCAGCTTGGAGCTGTTTAAATTCTTACCCAAAAGGATGTAGTTGAGGGGTACCAGACTGGTAAGACTAGATTCTGATATCCTGACTGAACACTATTATCCCTGATTGTGCTCATGTGACTAGAAAACCATTTTACACACAGCAGACACAGCAAAACAGATTATGATACACTCTTGCTTAAAATCCTACTATGGCTTTCCCATTGCATGTATAATGAAACCCAAAATCCCTAATCTGGTTAAAAAAACCCTACATGGTTAAATACCTACCTACCCTGCTTAGTCACTCTTTCCCCCATGGCAGTCCATTTACTGGTTGCCCCTTTTCCTCTGGCCAAGAAAGTTCTCTGTGTCTGAAACTCTCTCTTTTTCATGATGACTTCTACATGCCATTTAGATATCAGTTTAAATGTGACCTCCATAGACACATCTTTCCTGACAAGCCACTCTAAAGCAGTGACCAAGATGCTCTCCCTAAGGAAACATTAGGCAAATTCCTCTTTTCAACTAGATTTCATCCTTGGATGTCCCTAACCTTCCTAAGCCAGTCTAACTGAAGAATCCTACCAAGTGATTTCACACTTTTGATATCTGATCAAGGTCTTCATCTTCCATCCTTAATGTTTAGGCCCTTCTTTTAGCAAGAATCTTGTTAGTCCAGTTCGGCAAGAATCTCTCTATCCTTGACGAGAATTCTCCTCTTAAAAGTCTTTCATCCACTGATCCCCTCACTCTGCTCCTTAACTATAAATCCCCAGCTGTCTTTGCTGTGTTTGGAATGAAGTTCAGTTCTTTCCCCGATTACAATAATACAAAATAAAATCTGTATCACCTTTAACTGGTGTCTTGCTCTGTTTGTTTTGATAGTAACCACTAGTTCCCTGGTATCAAATTACTCTATTTTAATCCTCTGCATAGAATTAATCTTATGACATTATTATGGTGCTTTATTTGTTTATACACTAGGATGCAAGGCTTTGGGAAAAGAGGGACATTGTCTCTCTTGATCACTGTTTCACTTCATCAAGACGTGTAGACAGCCTAGAACAAAGCTTGGCAATGGCTACACACTCAAGAATTTTGTTGGGTGAGACCATTTTCATGGTAGATCTAAAGGAGTATGAAAATGCACACAAGAGAATCCTGAAAATTAGCATGTATATAAGATTTATTATAAAAAGGCAAAAATGAATAAAGCAAATATTAAAAGTTGACCCCTCAGGTTTCTTCTTTATATAATGTTGTATTTTCCAAATTTTCCACTATTACTTTTAAAATCAGAAAAACATAAAAAATAACACAGGAAAAAAAGTGGTTTAATGAATCACCATTTTTAGTTGGTTTCAAATGTGTTTCTTAGGGAGAAACCTTTTACTTGCTGCAAGTTTTCAAGATTATTGATTTCATGCCAAGAAAAAGACATATACAAATATAAAAATGAAACAAGCACATTTTCACAGGAGAAAAATTGTCAAAAATAGTTATTTCCTTCCTTACAGTTCTATAACCTAGCAGATCTTAAAACCAAGCCAATAATAAAATAGAGAAAAGGGTGACGAGGATAAGAGTCTGATATTACTTAGGTATCACATTAAGTAATTGTGTCAGGGAAATCAAGCACAAATGGCTGTTTTCCCTGTGTAATCTGATTCACTCATGAGTGTGTCCTAGTGATTCATGTGGTGCTGTTAACTAGTGCAATGATCTTGACAGGAACTGCAGTACTCTGCTCACAACCCTGTGGGTCTCCACCCTCCACTGCACTTGCAGATGTTCACATACAGCATTTGTCTTTAAAACACTTCTCCTTTGTTGGCTGTTGTTTACTACTTTATGACAGTCACTGTTGTTATTGATGTTGTTTTAAAATTGTTCTTTACATGACTAAACACAATACTGTCAGATTATATGGCATGGAGATTCACCAATTAAGGTAAGATAAAATGAAAAAGAACTCATCCCTATTTCTCTCATTAGATAAAAAGCTTTGATGGAATCTACTTACTAGTCTTAGAGCCCTTATGCAGGCCGTTTGTTCTCTCTGTCTACAATGTTTTTTTTTTTTTTTTCACCTTCTCAATGAAATAGTCCCGACCAACTATTTAAAATTGGAGTAACTCAACACTCTGTATTTCCCTGCTCTGCTTCCAATTTTTCCTCAATAGTTATCACAGTCTAATATCCAATACTTTGTTTACTGTCTATCTCCCACAAAAAATACACATTCCATGAGGCAGGGATATTGGTCTGTTTTGCTCCTACTATACAACTTGTTAAGTGAGTAAATGACACAGGTGAATTTGCTAGTGTTATAATTTTTGAGATTATGTCTCATAACTTTAATCCATCTATGATTTATATGCTGAGGAAAAGGAACACTTGAAATCTCTTTTGTGGCTAGAAATGGGTCCTAGATTCAAGGACCTAGAGTTGCCACAGTTCCTTTTGTATTCCTGAAATTTTAAAAGATAGAAGAAAATCTCCAATGAGGTAACCTAGGAGTTATGACATTTGGCTGCTATGGATCCCTGAAAAAAGATGTATACTGTGTCAGAATGTGTTGATAATTCTGTCTAGGTCACAAAAGTTTAGAACTTTCCCCACAGTACTTTCTCTTTTTATAAGTTTAGTCTGTATGTAGTATCAAAAAGAAAAGAATTCTTGTTTCAGCTTGGCAGTTTTTTTAATGTTTGACTTTGGTCTCCTAGAGGAAATGGAGGAAACTAGTTTCATTATCCACAAAAATTTAGTCTCATAGGAGGACCTGATACAAACAAAACCAAGCCAAAACAAACAAATAACAACTTTCTGCACAGGAATTCCAAGTTCATTAAACAAAGATTTGATTTTCTCTTAAACCTGAGCAAGAAAAGTACTCTTTGAGCTACAGTGGTTCATTGGGTAATTTCTCTTTAGTCAATTTTATGGGCAAATGATGTCCATGCCTATGTTGATATACTAACCCTGATACTTCAGAGTGTGACTGTATTATTTGCATATAGAGTGTCTAAAGAGATAATAAGGTGAAAATGAGGTTATCAGTGTGGGCTCTAATCCAATATGACTGGTGTCCTTACAAGAAGAAATGTGGATGCAAACATCACACTGAAGGAAGACCATGTGAAGACAGGGAAAAGACAGCTACCTACTTGCTTAGGAAGGAGATCTTAGAAGAAACCAAACCTGACAGCACCTTCATCTTGGATTTCTCGCTTTCAGAGCTATGAGAAAATAAATTTCTGTTGCTTAAGCCACCCAGTTTGTGGTACTCTGTTATTGGCAGTCTTAGCAAAGTAATATAGCCAATCAAGAAATGTCATAAATTTTTGTCAGAGTGAAATGCTTGTAAAGAGGTAGATTTATACTTCAAAGTTGTTTTGTTCTCTCCTCAAAACAGAAGGTTCCTTTTAGTCAGCCCTCAGTATGTTAATGCTTCAGATTTACTCCACAGTATCCATTTGCTTAAGACCCTAAGACACACCCACTAAGTCAGGATACTAAAAATGTCAAAGCAGGAATATAAATTGAATGCTCCTACACATAAAAATAAAACATCTATAAAGTTTTCAGTGAAACATTTTGCAAATTCTATGTCACTGTTACTCCTTTTCTTACTACTTATAGATCAGAAATATTTAGGTTAATAATAAAATTGAGGAAGCTGGTACAGTAACATTTTTCCAAAATAATCAAACCTATTATCACAGAATCTAGTTTACATATATTTTTGGATTTACTTTTTCTTTCCTGTTTATTTCTTCTGCGTTTCTTATATTTATCACTTTTATAATTTTTGAAAACATTTGTGCTATTTTATAATTCACGAGGGATGAATACCGTAAAGTCATCTTACTATTTCTCAAATCAAATCAATGACTGTAACATAAACTTTTTTATTTTTGGAGACAAGGTCTCATTCTGTCACCCAATGTCTGAAGTGCATAACTCACTGCATCCTTAACCTCCTGGGTTCAAGCGATCCTTCCACTTCAGCTTCTCTAGTAGCTGGGACCACACATGCACACTACCACATCCCGCTAATTTTTATAATAGTTTGTAGAGATGTGGTCATGCCATGTTGCCCAGGCTGGTCTTGAACTCCTGGGTTCAAGTGATTCTCCTGCCTCAGCCCTCCAAAATGCTGGGATTATAGGCAGCCACGGTGTCTGGCCTAATGTAAACATTTACAGGATAAGTGGAACATAATTTAGCTGACTAAAGTAATGATATAAATCCTGTCTTTCCATACTTCAGAAGCAGTAGCTGAGTAATTGTTAAAGATACATAAAAGTGCTATTCAAATAAGACCTTATATTATTTTTTAAAGTGTTAGTTTATACATAATCACTACCTTTTGAAAAAAGTATACACAACTTTTCAAAAACTTGTCATAATTGCTTCATTTTTACCTTCACAACTATTTTCCCAAGCAGGTAAAGGATTATTATTTTCATTTTATACAACTCTACAGAAAGGACATTGAACTGATTAACATAGCGGACTCCAAAATATGTGGTTAAAATAAAGCTAATATCATCAGGGATTACCTAAATTTATTTATTTATTCTTTAATTATACTCAGGTTTTCTACTGATTAGTTTACAGTCAACTTTCGGCACAACAAGAAACATACACTATTAATTTAGTATCTTTATTGGTTTCCACAAAGATTAGTTTAATTTTTCCCACTTCTACTTCAAAGATTGTATCAAAAAACAAACAAAAACACAGATAAACTTTGAAGACTCAAAGGTAACCAATATTGAAAGTTAGGAACCTATTTTATAAAAGTTATAAATATTATAGGTTATCAAATTAACATTTTTATTGTGGTATGTAAAATAAAATTTTAAATTAACATTTAAAAAACATTAAAAATATGTTCTCACCAATGTTAGGGTGCTTCAAAAGACGGCAGATTCTAGCTTCTCTTTCCAGTTTCTGATGGTCTGTTTAAAAAAAAAAAAAAAAAAAAAAACAGAGTAAGGCAAAAAATAATAAAACACAACAAAATGCATAACAAAATCACATAAGGCCTTTGCATTTACTCATCCTTTGATTTCGTTTTGAAACAAGAATAATTCAAATTTAGAATTAAGTGAATAGCACATAGTTCAATATCGAATTTTATTTTTCATTGACTTGATGTTTGACAGAGTGTAGTATAAAATAGTGCTAAATTTACTCTTGGGGAAAAATAGCAGAAATGGCACAAAACAATACTATTCTTTCTCATCTTTACATTAAGTGCGTATTTATTTATTTATTTATTTATTTATTTTTTTTGAGACGGAGTCTCACTCTGTCTGTCACCAGACTGGAATGCAGTAGCGCAATCTCGGCTCACTGCAACCTTCTGCCTTCTGGGTTCAAGCGATTCTTCCGCCTCAGCCTCCTGAGTAGCTGGGACCACAGGCACGTGCCACCACGCCTGGTTAAGTTTTGCATTTTTAGTAGAGATGGGGTTTCACCATGTTGGCCAGGATGGTCTCGATCTCCTGACTTCGTGATCCCCCCACCTTGGCCTCCAAAAGTGCTGGGATTACAGGCGTGAGTTACCGTGCCTGACCAAGAACATATTGTTATAACAACTTTAACCCAATATAGACATACCAGTTTAGAGCAGAGGATGCATATATAGAAACTGGATTGCTAATAAAGTAAGTACTAAATCAGGTTATTGTAGTTTATCCCTAATGGAGAAGTGTTCTCAGTTCAGTCATATGTTCTCTCAACCACTCTTCTTACAACTCTTGGTTCAACTTCCTAGGTATATGATACTCCTCCTAATATCAAAGATTTCCCCAAATCCCTAATTCCTTGCTTATCTTCACCTTTCTATGTTTCTGTGACCATTTCTTTGAAGAAACATGTGTCTTAATGTGTGTTTTAAGAATTATCTTAATTCTTACACAAGAAGAAACTTGTAAGAATTATTTTAATATTCTTCTTTGATTTTTTGCTAGAGGTACATATACATATAAATATAATCAAAATCGTTCACCAACACACAAAATAAATGGTAGAGAGAGACAAAAACGTGGTAGAAACACATGTTGCTGATAAGGGTAGTGGTGTATAGTGGTCACTATTAGAAAACTTATACATGGAATATCTGATTTAAATCTTACAACAACCCTCTATGATTGGCAATATTGTTATCCCTACTTTAAAATACAAATTCCAATAGTTTACCACCACTGCCTTGATTATCGTAAAGCCTCCAGCAATTTCATCTTATTTTTTTTGCATTATGATGCAACACATGTCAACACATGTAAGAATGTCAACACTTTTTAAAATAAAAGACAAATGATGTTTTAGTTTTAATTTGAAAACAGTTTTGACCTGAAGATCCCCTAAGAGAGTTTCAGGCACTCCCAGGATCTGCAGATACACTCTTTGAGGACCATTGGCGTATTCTATAATTAACTGTTGCATATAATGTAGATTTTTTTTGTCATTTAAAAAAATTTAAACACAATCAGTGCTATTAATAGCTCAAAGTGTCAAAAAAACAGTGTCTTAATAAATCGGCACAGCATTAGATAGGCTCTAATAGTATATCTCCATTATATCTGGATTCTCAAATACAAAGACAGATACTCTCTGGACCTATCATTATCTAAAACTATACCAACTTCTAATAAATATAATTTCTTCAAACTCCCTTTTTAACAAGTCCTTATTCTTAAGACAGACTACTTCTAACTTACTTAGAAGTAAACAGCAAATACAAAAAGTTAAGGTAGATTTTGAAAATGCCTCTAATAGCAGTATCATGAATAAATACTGCAAAGTGTTACATGTAAAGTATATGAAAGAGGTTGGGCACAGTGGCTCATGCCTGTAATCCCAGCACTTTGGAAGGCCAAGGCAGGTGGATTGCTTGCAGCCAGGAGTTTAAGACAAGCCTGGCCAACATGGCAAAACCTCATCTCTACTAAAAAAACGTGAAAATTAGCCAGGTGTGATGGCAGACGCCTGTAATTCCAGCTACTCAGGAGGCTGAGGCAGAAGAATCACTTGAACCCAGGAAATGGAGGTTGCAGTCAGCCAAGAACGCAACACTGCACTCCAACCTGGGCAACAGAGGGAGACTCCGTCTCAAAATAATAATAATAAAGTATATGAAAGACATATGCTTACAGAGACTAGAATTTTGTTATGGAGAAAGGGATATGCAAACATGTGCTGAACTATGTGATTACTATATACATGTATAAATATAGTTTTATATATAGATAGTAATTTTTATATATATATATATATAAATCATCTGAAAAACAATTATATTAAAATAAAAAATAAAAAGGAAGTAAAAAATCTTTACAGACAGTAAGTTCTACAGAGCTTTTGCTATAGAGATAAACATAATTATAGAACTTCATATAGCCTATTGTATGGGCTTATCTGTTGTTTCCCTGTAAAATTCATATGAAGCCATCCTAATCTTCAGATCCCAGAGAATGTGACTGTATTTGGAGATGGAATGTTTAATGAGGTCATTATTGTGGGCTCTAATCTAATATGACTGGTGTCCATATATGAAAAGGGGACTGGTGCACTGACACGTGCAGAAGGAAGATCATGTGAAGACACAGGGGAAGATAGACATCTACAAGGCAAGGAGAAAAGCCTAAGAAGAAATCAATGCTTCTGACACCTTCATCTTAGACTTCTGAGCCTCCAGAATTCTGAGAAAATAAATTTGTCACAACTGGTTGTTTAAGCCCACCTAGTCTGTGGTACTTTGTTGTGGTAGCTCTATCAAACGAATGCACCGAATGTATCAGTTTTCTATTGTGATGTGTCCAACACCACAAACGTAGAAGCTTAAAACAACACGTGTGTATAAACTTACAGTTTCTGTGGGTTAGGAACCTGGGAATAGCTTAATTGGGCCCTTTGCTTTAAGGTTTCTCACAAGGCTGCAATCAAGGTGTCTGCAATGGCTGGGGTCTCATCTAAAGTCTCGGCTGAGGAAGGATCTGCTTCCAAGCTTGCATAATTGTTGGCAGTACTTAGTTCTTACATGACTTGCTGAAGTGAGGGTCTCAGTTCCTACCTAGCTCTTGACTGGAGGATGCGCTCAGTTCCTTGCATGTGCCAATATGGCAACATGTTTCATCAAAGCCACTGAAGGAAAGAGTATGGTAAGCAAAAGGGAATGCCACTATCTTGTCTAACCTAATCACAGAAGTTATATCCCATCATGGTTTCCATATTCAATTGCTTAGAAACAAAAGCTAGGCTGGCTCAATTTTAATGTACAAGGGCATGAACACCAGGAGGCAGAATTATTAGGACATCTTAGAATTTCTCTGCCACAGTAGACTTTTTGTTTGTTTGTTTGTTTGAGATAGAATTTCACTCTTGTCACCCAGGCTGGAGTACAATGGCACAATCTCGGCTCACTGCAGCCTTCACCTCCTGGGTTCAAGCAATTCTCCTGCCTCACCCTCCATAGTAGCTAGGATTACAGGCGTCTTCTACCATGCCCAGCTAACTTTTGTATTTTTGGTAGAGACAGGGGTTTCACGATGTTGGCCAGGCTGGTCTCGAACTGCTGACCTCAGGTGATTCACCTGCCTCGGCCTCCCAAAGTGCTGGGATTATGGGAGTGGGCCACTGCGCCTGGCCCACAGTAGACTTTATAACAACAGTACTGATGGGCTTTCTCTGACAAGCAGCTTCAATTACCTTTTCTTCCATATAACCACATAACAGTGATCTTCTATGAATCATAGGCATTCTGCATTCTACTGCTGGGACATGTTTTGACATCCCAAACATGATGATATAACTAAATTCTGGTTTCCATCAAAGCTAGAAATTAACAATAATGAAAATGCATATCACCTGGTATGTTTCACATTCAACATCAAGTCCACAACTTTACTTTTAGAGAGAGTAGGTAGGTGAGGAGTGATTAAATACCTATTACAGTATTGCCAAAAAGCACATTTCTCTATTTATCCTGCTAAAGAGATGGATTACTTTTAAAGTCTCCTTTACTTTTAATTCCATCAGAAACAAAAATTATACATCCTACCTTATCATTCCCAGCTCTGACAACTATAATCATAAGAGGCATAGACAGATTATAAAAGGCAAGACAGCCATAATATTGTTTGGCACCATTTGAAGATTTTCTTTTATTAGCCACAGGCCCTGAAGCTAGTGTGGAACCAGCTTCATTTATCATTTAATATTTATTAAAATACTTGAACTATAATAGTTTGGCTTTATTATTCCTTTGAAGCTCAAGTTCATACTCTTATTGAATCAAAATATAACTCTTCAGGCTGTAATCTTGTCAGGTCTGATAAGGTACACACTGTTAGTAATATATGGTTGAAGACCTGCCATATAAACAATGCCTTAAGGAAAATGCATCATCATTTGGTTTTGACATGAAGTCCGTGGGAGAATAATATTATCAACAGAGAGACTTCTGGATTTTAAAACATTTCTCGAGAATTTTGGTGAAGTGTTGTTATAAAATTTCTTCCTAGCTGAGATACTATTTTAACTTACAAAATATTTTATTTCAAATGAGGTGGAAAATGTGAATTCAGACCAAATGAAGTAAATCCTTGACTCCTGTTCCAAATCAAATTTTAATCTTTATGCAAAAGAATAATTCTGATCACAAATGCAAATTAAAGTGCTAGCTTTGATTCACTTTCACACAGCAATAGATATAGCACTAAAGCTACATAAAGTAACAATATATCTACTCTGGCAATATCAGGGAATAAGCTCTTATCAATAAGCAAATCTCAAAAGTACTTATTTATTCCTCCAAATACCCAAGTTTAAACTATTAAACTTGTTGGGGGATTGGAGGGAGATCTAACAGTCATTGCTTTCTTACATGAATGACATATATAAAAGAATTTAATCTTTCTTGACATCACTGAGTCCTCATTATTAACATTAATTA